GTTCGTAATCTCAAAGTAACAACAGCGGTATTCATTGCATTCTTCACACTGTGTGTATGACGAATCCTTGTACCACGTATTGAGTTCCGATAAAAAGCAGAGATTTTTCTTAAACCAGTTACGAAGGTATGTTACATCGTTACGTGATAATTAAGAAAAATGATTCGTGACATTAAGGTACAACAACCGATTATAATCAGGTACAAAGTCAAATCGAATGTTAAGCTTGTCGATCTCAACGTATCATATTCTGAAAACCGGCTTTGCATATCAAGTGATACGCTTGATGTAAAACCTACTCTTAATACCTACGATGAAGTATTTCTCTGTCTCGTCACTAATTTTAGCAATCTCTCAAGTGTATCATGGCGAATTGAATGAATTCTGTTTGTGGTCAATGCACAATTGGAGGCAACTCGGTAGGAAGGATCAGAGATAGTAGGCGAGGATAAGGTGGGTGAAAAAATCCTATCTTCTCGGATTTAGGATCCAACAAAACCAACGAACGAAGCCGATTTATCGCAAATTCTATCTCATAGAGTCATAGTGTACTTGAAAGTTGCATGCTTGGCAATGCTAAGGAATAAGGGTGATGGGCTGGGCATCCATTGTTGAAAGATTATTTTGAACTGCAGATTGAGACTTTTACATATGTATCATTTTATCAAGTGTTCATGTATATGTAATGTAAATAATCATATGAACGTTTAATAACGCGTGAAACCATATTCGTTGTTGTTCAAAATAGTCCTTAACATAGGAAGTCTGCGAATTGCAAGTCTTCGGAATTACATTATCCGCAGTATGGTGGAAAGGCGAACAATGAGAGCGGAATATTTGGTGAAACCAACTTTACGTTAGATTAGATACGCTCCAACACTCGGCACAATCTACGTGAGACTCCGTGAGACTCCGTAGCTGTACATATGTACGAAAAACACGCTCTGATTATTAAAGGAGGGATCGTTCCCGTCGAGGAATATCATGATATAACTAAACGTTTAATATAACGAGTATGCGTAATGAGTACTAAAAGCATAGACGAAACTACCGAGCTTAGAGTTTCAAGCAACAGGTATACAACGGAGGATTTGTTGTGTTTTTTTGTATGCAACATGCGACCACATGTCATCAACAGTCAGTCAGATCGAACGAGTCTTTACTGCGGCCAGCCACAAGAAAGTCTGGGATCACTTCACTAAGGCGCAGAGGAAGAACATCGAAATGTGGAAGAAACAATCCTCGGTATGTATGTAACGCACTCTCACATGCTAGTAGCGTGTCTTCTGTATACTTCCTCTTTCTCTTGCGTAATTTAAAATAATCTTAGAATCTTCTCTGTCGCAATATGCTCCTTTGCGCGTTTGCACGATATCTCCAAACACGGTTGTTTTGCAAATTATATTTTTAAGATATCACAGGTAAGTGACAATTGAGAAAAGAATCGAGTCGCCTGCTGTAAAAAAAAAAAAAAGAAATCGGTCAGACACACGCTTCTCTTCGTGCGTTATAATTCGATACTTTATCGTGGAATGCCGTGACAGTATGGCAGATAAATCCTGTCGGCAACACGCACAACATTAAGAACAACATATGGAACAGAAGGTAATACGAGATTAGCACTTTCGGATCGAAAAGCAACTACAGACTATCCAGCATGGATTTGCCTTACTTTTTTCGAACAGCGTTCACTCGATATACAATACTTGTTATTTCTGTACTTCAGAGCTGCATCTGCTTCTTACAATCAGGTAAGCCCAAATCATTCTGAAAAGGCGAGCAAAGTCCTGAAACACTTCTGTAATGAAAACTGAGACAAAATCGTATGCGGTATCGCGCCTAAACTCTGAATTACAGAAATGTACGAAATTACATTTTAAAAAATCAATACTGTATAAAAAGTAAATAAAAAAATTAATAAAAAAAAAAGAAAAAACAATAGAACCAGTCACATTTAGGGATGTATTTAAATACCATTGTTTGAACAGCAGATAGGAAATTACATACTTTGCATGCATTTGTGTGAAAAGACAATAGTCATGATTTGGAGCATTTTATAATTTTCGTTATTCATAATGACAGGAAATAAAAGCGGTACAGTTGGAAGATAGTCTAATTGAAGGCGAAGGTGAAATGGATGTATCGGACTCGGAGGAGGAACCTCAACGTAAGAAAACACGCAATCAATTGGATGGTAACCAAGAGGACGTCGAGAGACTACAGAGTCTCAAAGAAGAAAACGACAGTCTGAGATGCCAGTTGGAAGCGTACAAGAATGAAGTGTGTATTAATGCGAATTGATTTGTTAACACCGGGGGAGTAGTTTTTTCGAAAAGTTTCTAATTATAAATTTTTATAGGTGGATCTTTTAAAATCGGAAACAAAAGCCGAGATGGAGGGAAAGGAGAAACAAATGAAGATGCTGCAGCAAACGCTGAAAGGTATGCAAGAACAATTGATGCAGTCGCATAAGCAGCAAGTGCAGGACGATCAGAAGATCAAGGACTTAACCGTCAAGCTGAATGCTACAAAGAAGGAGGAGCCTAGAGAAAGTGAGATTATCACACTTGACAAGGATGACGATATTAGCGAGGAGCCACGTACACCGAAGCAACACATTCTCACCTCTAACTTTGTGCAAGTCACCCAGAAGGATGCTAAACTTATTGGTAATATAAAAATTTTGGAAACAATTGGAAAATAATTTTAAAATAATGTCAGTTGTAACTTTGCTAATATATAACATACATTGCAGGACTTATAGCGACATTTCTGCATATCCATCCATTTGGTGCAAGTGTGGATTATTTGTGGTCCTATCTGCAGAAAATGGAGCCCGGCATTAAACCAAGTGAAGTTGAAGTTTTAATGCAACGTTTTCCACAGGTCTTTAAACAAGAATTGTTCGGCATCGGCGCAAATATGGAGAGACGTTGGCAATTTTCAGGTTTTAATGTTTATCGCAGTCATTGAATCTAGACGATTGAATGTAAAAATAACTGTGAAAGTAACATTTGTCTTGTTGTTCGTCTCTTTTTTTTTCGTTATTGTCCGCGAGTGCAATCGAGATCTGTCCGTGACAAGCGTATGGAAACGATGAAAAGTCTGACGTCGTTGTGAATTAATAAAATATCTTTACCGATTCTTAATTTTAACGATATAAACAAGTATCTCTTAATTTCAATCCTCCAAAAATTATATCCTGCAATATTTATCAAACTCAGGCAATAAATCAAGTTTAATTAGTGCCTAAATCAAAATTGATTTCATAAATATTGTACGAATTTGATTAATCGCTGTTGCTATTGTTATGTATGTGCGTGTGTGTGTGTGTTTTTTCTCTCGCTCTTGTTTTGTATTTGAAGAACTTTATAAATCGCGGTATAAGTCTACGGTCATGCGCATTGTGTATTTTAAAATTATGATTTCCCTAGCAGTTGAAATGGCTAGTAACTTACTTTATAATCAGGTTTGTTCGCGTTGCTTGAAATCCCTAAAAACTTTTGCACGAGATAAATACAATACAATATATTGTACAATGTATTGGGTCATCTAAAAAGTATCCGCGGTACTTTGTCATTAGATATATGACCATCAACACACATCTAGTGACAAAAAACCGCGGATACTTTTTAAATGACCCAATATAAGTATTCATTGAAAAGAAAGTGAAGATACTGAGTGCAAAAAGTGCATGCAATACGACAGATCCATCGACAGCCATGTTTGGATCTTAGTTGTATGGTCGGAGTATCGATTCTCTAACTTTCATCATGGTGCAATTGCGAATAATAATCTCAGGGGAGTTCGTTCGGCAAGAAATTTCTTGTTGAATAGTAAGATCGAGAAAGAAAGGCTGAGAAATAGAGCGAGAGAGGAACCACAGACTGAATCGACTGAATTGACAGTTTTAAAGTTAAATATATAATTTTGTACAGTCCAAAGACAAAAATAAAATCAAATGGCAATATACATGGTAGCAATTTTGTTACTGGATGAAAAGGATGAAGAGGTCTTTGAACCACATATGAGAATTTCACGAAGAATGCTTAGAGATATTCATTTTCAACAGGATTAACTTGGTAAATAATGACAGAAAATCATTTAGGCCCAATTCCATAACTCATGGTTTACTTTTAACCACTTTTAATCGAAGTTCGACTTATTCGTCATTCGTTTTCAATTCTAGAATTGAAAAAAAATTAGAAATAAATTAAACTTTATGGCCATGGTCCGATTTATGCTGATAACGCTTATGAGCATCGTTCGTCTTCGTTTAACATTTGACAAATAACAAGGATGAAATGATTTTTAAGTGTGTGAGCATGAATTGAACTGTTTCACTTCACATTTTCACGTTTTTCTCCAAATCCACTGATCCCCAGATCCACCGGCAAATCTAGTGATTTCGTATTTTCATTTCGTCGTTACAGAATCACGCGGACAAACTCATGTGAGATGAAAGTGCGAAAAGTGAGTGAGCTCACTCGAATTACAGAATCGACCCTCTGATTGGTCAACACTTTCTCGGAAGCGAAACACCTTATGGTATTGTATGGGTCATCTAAAAAGTATCCACGGTTTTTTGTCACTAGATATGTGTTGATGGTCATATATCAATATATTGGGTCATCTAAAAAGTATTCGCGGTACTTTGTCACTAGATATATGACCATCAATACACATCTAGTGACAAAAAACCGCGGATACTTTTTAGATGACCCAATATTTCGAGTAAAATTTTCCTCGGAGAGGAAACGTAGCCCCTAATAAGGGCTACCACGCATGCGATTGTGTAATCTTGCTACTTACAATAGGTAAAATTTGCCAAAAGATGGAACCGATCCTTAGACCTAGTTGCACCAATGTTACTTTGACTTTAAGCAAGGCTTAAAACTCTGTCTGTCTCTTTTTCACTTTAAAACGAGATAGATGGAGCTTTAAGTCTCGCTTAAAGTCAAACGTTAATTACCAAATTTACCAAAAGGTGGAACAAGCCCTTCTAAGACTTTTAAATGTAGAAAAATAAATCAATAGCAGCGAGCGTTCAGTCAACTATTGAATTGAGGATATGGTCAACGCGATGCTGCAAATGCTTTGAAGCGTTTTTTAATTGGTCAGTTTATAAAATTCTTTCTTCTAATTGGTTCATCAAATGCTTTGAAGCATTTATAGAGAGACTACAGCCTGAGTCCGATGATGCAATATGCATTCGTGGTTATGTTTCATTTAACACTCATAACGCTTGAGCAATCAATTGAACATGTGAACATGTGAACAGCCATATATAGATTAGCCATAAAGAAGAATAGTATTCTGTTCTAGAACATTTATGAAGATGCGATTAAATTACTACAAAGTGCTCGGCTGCAGCAAGGACTCCACTCAAGAGGAGATTAAGCATGCTTATCATCGACGCTTATTGCAGTTTCATCCCGATAAGAATGATGTCGTGGATATCCAAGAGTTTCATGACGTCAAGGAAGCTTGGCGAGTGCTCGGACATCCACAATGCAGGAAGAAGTATGATGCAGTCTGCAAACAGGAACAGTTAGAGGAAGAAGACAATCCTGTGTACGCGCGTCTCACACCGCATGAACTCGAAGAATCTGCTCTTGAGGACACATTGTTTTACCGCTGCAGGTGTGGCGAAAATTACTTTATTGAACGAGAAGCTCTTCGAAAAAAAAACACTATGTTCCAAGTGACGTGCGACGGTTGTACGCTTATTATCATTGTTGAAACATAGCACACTAATATTAGTTTATACAATAAAATACAACCTTTGACGACATCTATAGATTTTTGTTTAAAGAAGTCTGTAAAATGTGACTGAACATTATTTATTCAAGATGATAAAATAAAATGCGCTTTCTCTTCATTATATAGTAAGATAAGATAATACTCACAATATATAGAAAAAGGTCGAAATCGAACATTTATTTTGTACAAAATATGTTTTTTAGCACAAGAACATGTGTACAGTTGTAATAAATTTAAAAAAAAAACAAAATCTAAAATATCAGCAACATCTTTTTTCTATTTCTTATAAAAAATGATACAACAGGTAACACATTCTTATAATATAAACTATTGAGCAATATACAAATAAACACGACACCTAGTCTAACCTAGGTCCAATAATAAAGATGCATTTGCACAAATTGTATTATCTGATAATGTCGTTCATGTTCATGACATGATTCAGTAGAATCCATATAAAATTCGTCAATGACAAATGATGCAATGTTTTTATAAGTCTTCATTATACAATTCACATTAAATGTAAAGATCTGGCTAATACAAATATTCTTCCTTTAACAAGTCTATTCATTATCATCATATTGATGAATATTTTAAACATTTTAATCAACAAAAACAAAGATTTAAAAAAGTACCAGTCCTGTTCTTTATAAGCTTGTACTACTGGTTCACTGTTTTGTAAATCTGTATTGCACGCGGACAAGTGCGCTATATCTGTATATTGCACCATGATGAAGTGAAACATGCGATATTGGAAGAAGCAGCTTTTCAATTACAAAAAAAGAAAATTATTCAACGATTTTTTTTAATCGTAATTTTACTTCAATTGCCAAAAGATCATTCTCTTCCAATAAATGTCAATCAAATGAAAAATTGACTTATAAACATAAAAATTTATAAAAATATTTGTTTTTAACCAGATCGATGTTTATAAGAAAGTAAAGTCTAAATTACATGATCAGGAAATATCGAAGCTAACAGTTTGACAAAATTAATGTTGCAATATATAACAAACGTTTGAAATTTCTCGTAAAAAGATCTGTATGATCTCTCCGAAAGACGTGAATTGTCGTCGATAGTTTTCTTGCTCCAGGAGGTATGAGATTCTTCGATTAATGTCATTTTGCCTTGCAGTTTCAGTACGTCTCAGTCGCCTCGATTTCGTCTGCCACCGTTGACAAATGCTCCTAAATGCCCACATAATAAACCTGTTATACTTATGAATCTCGTTAGGGATGTTTGCTACTTTTGCATCGTCGATGATTCTACTGAATCGTTATAACAGCGAAAATTCAGAAGTACACTGATAAGTTCTTCGTTTTCTCTCCCTCCCCCCTCCCTCCCTCCCTCCCAATAAGTTCACGAGTCTTATAAATCTTACGTTTGTACACCACAACAATGCGCGAGCGCTCCAGCAAACCGACATAATTATAATTTTCTCAACGGGCACTTTGATCAATCTGAAGATAACTCTCTTATTGCCTTCAGTTTTTTCCTTCCCTCCCCTAATTCCCGCAAAAACTTTCTCCCAATTTTACGTCGCGTACACAGTCTTATCACAATCACACCATGTAAAACATAAATCATTGTACAGCATGGATTAGTTTTTAGATTACTTAATTGAAAATATGTACAGAAGTCGTACAAAGGGGGCGATTGGATCCAAGTGGTGGAGCTCACTATTTTACCTCAACGTCGAAATCGAGGACAAGCAGTTTTGTCTCCTCGGTACCATTACGACTACCTACTGCACACACTAGTTTCGTATCACTCGCTCGAATCCTCCATACAACACCGCCGCTACCACCACTTTCCAGAGCAACTAGATTCCTAATGAAATCACCTGCGAACACAACACATGTTGTTCTTAACAATCGATGCGCATTCTAATCGAAAATAAACGATAAAAAAATATATAACAAACCAGTCTTAACATCCCAGAGTTTTACTGTACCATCGTCAGAGGACGTAATCACAAAATGGCTATTGAATTGAAGGCAAGTAACCGCCGATTGATGTTTGTTCGGACCAGAGAGAGTTTGAAGGCAGTGACCGCTAACAATATCCCATACTTTAACAGTAGAATCAGCATTGCCTGACACTAAGATATTATTGCGCAACTCCATCCCCGAGGTAAGAGATTGATGGCCCATCAAAGTATGTCTACAAGCACCTGTTTCTACCTCCCACACTCTTATACTCGTGTCCAATGATCCGCTAACAACGTGTACACCGTCGAACTAACAGAAAGGAAACGGCAAACGGACATTTGTCAATCCCGAAAGAGATGAAAAGCAAATATAAGAATAACACATATAATGCACTTACCTGGAGGGAATAAACACGGTTAGTATGTCCTTGTAAGGTATGAAGGCACTCCTCACGTTCCGGATTCCAAACTTTGACCATATAGTCGTAGGCACCACTGACCACCAACTTTCCGTCATATTGCACACATCTAACCGCCGCTAGATGCCCCACGAGCACATGTAAGCACTCCCCTGTGTCCACCTGCCACACTCTTAGTGTCGCGTCTCTACTACCACTGACGACTTTGTTACCATGTAGATGCATACACCTAACTGTTGACGTATGACCATACAATGTATAAATACACTGGCCAGTCTCTGCGTTCCACACTTTCAAAGTACGGTCTGTACTGCCACTGATAACAATTGTGCCGGACATCTGCGAAGACCACACACCCCCGGTATGCCCAACCAATGTCCGTAAACACTGAAATATTGTGAAAAGTGATAGAATATATACAATCTCCTCTCTTGTTGCTGACAATTAAATATCGTATAATTACGCATTTACAATTTACCTTTCCTGTAACAGCGGACCATACTTTGAGTGTATTGTCATCTGAACCACTAACTATCCGATTGCCAGAGAACTGAAGACATGTAATAACATGGTCGTCATGACCTTTCAACACTTTCGGTGTGCGAATCGGCTTCGTCCTCCAATTCATTTTAATATTGTGCTGTCGCATATAAGCCTGCTTCCACGGCGACGAGTGACTACTGTTTCGACAGTTCTTTCGTTTCGGCGGTGGTAGATCTTTCAAGTCCTCTATACCAGCTGCCTTGCACTTCTCTTTCCACAATAGATTGTCATCAGCTAGGAATCGCCAGTTTCGGCAGGTTTGGGCAGCCCTTAGGAGATCCTTTGGCTCCAGAAATGCCAATACCGACAATGCCAACTCTTTCGGTAATAGCGATATAAAATCTCGTTGAAACTGCGGCTCTATCACCTGCATCATGTGACGCACCTGCGTGGGCTCACATCTTTCTATTAGTTCGTCTATTGCTAACATCCTTTCCGCGTTTGACCATCTCTGTAATAAATATCATTTTCATTTACTTTTTGAAAAGACCTGGATATAATTGATTACATTATTTTCTCTAACTCTATCGACATAATTTTTTGTTATTATTACAATAAAAATAATATTCACTAAAAATATTAATATTATTTATATATAAATACTTGAAATTGCAGAAGCCAACTGCTCATTTCTGGAGGAGGATTGTCCTTGGTAGGAATAACACATCTCACGTGTTTACCTTTATCATCTAGCTTTCTTGCAGTCCTAAAATAGAAGAGAGGTATTAAAATTTAAGAACATATACCTATGTATAATTATATTTATGTGACAAGAAATATAATACATTGTATGAGACTTTTCTTCTGGATTAAGTTTTTTACAAGGTAGACAACATTCCGTTTCACTTTTTCGTTTTCTCTGAGGCTGAACAGCATCCGATGGCACACAATTATGCGATACTGGACTCTGAACTTGTTCTGAGAGAACCACTTGGGACTGTGACATAGGTGACTGACAATTGTTGCTCTCAACTTCTGCTGTACACTCGGTATCGCAGAACAATCCACTATCGCTAATCTAAATGATAAAGCGTTAATTAGAAAGACAGTTCACTTTGTAGCCATAAAGTTAATAAGAAGCAAGTTATTTTTTGCCTTATTTACAAAATTTAACATTATTTACAAAAATAAAACTAAAGGAAAGGTTAGCACTTCAGCTTGCTCTATAAAAAAAAACAATATACAAACCAAACTGATGCTGACTTACTTCACTTTCTCCTTCACTACTCTCTTCATCACCCTCCTCCTCATCATCTCCATAATCCTCGGATTCCTCGTCTTGTGGCAATACTGAATGCATAGGATCCAAGGAACTCGGTCCTGGAACTCCCTCGATTCCCTCAATTGGACTAGGACTAGCACCGCCTAGCTTATTATTGTCAGATATATTATTGGAGGATGAAGGAGGGACAGACATTACTATACGTAGTGTTAGGTTTATAGGTATAGTAACTGTACCTAAACACAAAAGTCAGCCATTAGCATAATTGGAATACAAATTGATATCTTTTACTTCATTTGTTACTTTCGTAAACAAATAGATAATTTCGATCGTGATGTGAGAATATTTTTACATAATGTAAGATATTCTTATATCATAATTTTAACATACAATTATAATGGAAAACACAAGTGTCGCTATCTCATCTTATCGCGAGAGATCGAAATTTCTCTTGAGCTGATTGAGCTGATTGAAAATAAGTTAAAAAAAAAAGGAAAAGAAATTGGAACTCGCGAATGAAAATCCGAAAAAACGACTAATTATCACCGTTGTCGCGAGGATTCAACCTAACCTTGAATCCTCCGCACCATAAACATGCGGTTGCAATTCATAACTCAATATGCATATTGTAAAATATTGCGATCGGACGAAGATACATTGATAGCGACGAACTGATAGCCACACCCCATGTATCCTCGTAAATGACGCGACGCGGATTCGCGACAAGCTGCGTGCGACAAAAGGGATTACGAGAAGCTGCGTAAAACGTAAGGGGAGGGGTCTATACTTTGGACGAGCGCCGTTCCCGGTCGTCAGCCTTTCTTGGTCGATCGACGACGACGGTCCCCCGATGTGATGGGGGTTGCTAGGGATCCGGTCCGTCCGGTGCGTGTCGGTGATGTCGGTGACGACGTGATGCCTCTATCAAAGTAGCATAGCATTCATCTCTCTCGCGTGCGGTGCAGGTGGAGACGATCTTAGGTTAGAAACACGGGAGATACACGGCGATGTAAAGAGGAAGAGAGGATGGCGTAAACCTAGAGCAGTGCGGATGTCAAAAGGAAAGTGAGTGACGGACGTAAACACGACGAGCGGGGCGAATCCATCGGGCGGCCTCCTGGCGACTCTACC